AGTTTGGTCGTCGTAAGTAAGGAAGATGCGATAATTTGTACCATCATGTTTTATCACCAAAGACGAAGGTAAGTCAATCGACTCATCCGGCGTGACAAATATCTGACGTCTAAAACTGAGTACATGACTATACTCCTCATTTTGAATCCCTGCCCTTAAAAAGGACACAGGAGAGACGGGTTTGTAACCTAGCGTTTTGATAACAGAGAGGATGCTGTCATGGGGGATGGTAGGAAATACGTTTGAAATAATTATTCGCTGTGCGGGTGTAATCAGACGTCGAATCCCAACTTCTTGATTGTTAATAGTTAATGAAGAATATTTCGTCACAAGCTCGTCTACTAAAAGTTTATCCTTTAGATATATACAAATTCGGTTGTTCGCTATTCTTGAAGCGAAGAGGACGTTTTTGGGCTGGACTAAAATACCAACAGCGACAACATAATCAGTTAATTTCGTCTCATTAACGGAATTGAGTACAACAGCTTGGTCCTTCTTAGGGAAGCTAACGTGATTAGCAGTAGTAGGGGATGAACTCATGTTTGTAGATCAAATCGGTGGATAGGTAGGACACAACCAGAGCAGGTGCATAGTAAAGCTGGTTGCTTAGTTTTGTTCAATAAAAACCAGTATATATCTACTGGAAAGTTTTTGTGAACAAAAACGTTCGCTGACTATCAAATGAGGTTAAAGTTGTTACCTCACTACGAATGGACGATTCTGGCTGATTTCTTAACGCGCTCACGATTCAGAAAAAACTGTTAACTAATGAACCAATTTTTCGAAAAAAACACTCACTATTTAACTATATACTGAGCTAAGTGCACTGTACACTCACTCCCATTTAGGGTTCAGTATTTAGATTAATTTTGCGTTAAACTTTAGATTTTTCAATTTTTCGACTGTTTTATACTTCGATTTCACAATTTTTCAACTCTTCAGTGTTTGAATTAATCACTTTTTAGAATTTTTTCGATTTGTCGAGTTTTCGGTTCTTCTATATTTCGTTTAATCAATTTTTCAAATTTTGAGGTTGCTAAATTTTCAGTTTTCCGATTACTCAATTAACCTATTTTTGATTTTCCTATTTCTCGACTTCCCGAAATTTCAATTTTTCAATTCTTCAATTCTTCGATTTTCGACTTTGCTTTTTGATTTTTCGATTTCCCAATTTTCCAGTTTTTTAATTTCTGAATTTTTGGATATTTCTTTCAGTTTTGGGATTTTCCAATATTTTAATTCTCCGAATTTTCGATTTTACGACTTCTGGATTTTTCGATTTTCAATTTTTTTGGATTTAGAGTTTTTCGTTTTTTAAACTTTAGATTTTTCAATTTTTCGATTGTTTTATATTTCGATTTCTCAAATTTTCAACTTTTCGATATTTTAATCTTTGAATTTTTATAATTCTAGATTTTTCAATTTGTCGAGTTTTCAGTTCTTCTGTATTTAATTTTTCAATTTTCCTAATTTTTAAATTTTTTATATCCCGGTCTTTTGATTGTTCAATCTCTCGATTTATCAATTTTTTCATTTTTAATTTTTCGATTTTCCGATTTTGGCCTACTTTGGTTTCTCAATTTTTCGATTTTTCGACTTCTCGATTTCTGGATCTTTTAATTTTTCGATTTGTCGATGTATCAATTTTTGAATTTTTCGATGTTTCGATTTGTCGGTTTTTCGATTTTTCTCTTTTCGGCTTTTCGATTTTTCGATGTTTTGTTTTTTGAGTTATCCGATTTTTCAATTTTCCAATTTTTTTAATTTCAAAGTTTCGATTTCTCGATTTGTTGATTTTTCAGCTTTTCTTTTTTGAAATTTAACCTCTTTTTATTTTCCCATTTCCCGACTTCCCAAAGTTTCGATTTTTTCAATTTTTCAATTTTTTTATTTTTCAAGTTTTTTGATTTTCAATTTTTCGATTTTTTAAGATTACGATTTTCCGACGTTGCTGTTTTAGATTTTCGATTTCTCACTTTTCCAATTTTTTAATTTCTCAGTTGTTTGGATATTTCTTTCAGTTTTGGGATTTTTCAATATTTCGATTTTTCGACTTTTTGACTTTTGGATTTTTTGATTTCTCGATTTTTTACTTTTTGGATTTTGAATTTTGCGTTAAGCTTTAGATTTTTCAATTTTTCGACTTCGATTTCTCAATTTTTCAAATCTTCGATGTTTTAATTTTTCAATTTTCAAAATTGTAGGTTTTTTGATTTCTCGAGTTTCCAGTTCTTCTATATTTCAATTTTTCAATTTTCCGAATTTTTAAATTTGATTTTTCCAATTTTCCTTTTTTGCAATTTTTTTAATTTCTCGATTTATCGAATGCAGATGTTTCGATGTTTTGATTTTTTAGTTTTTCTTTTAAATTTTAGATTTTCGAACTTTTATTTTTTGATTTTTTGATGTTTGGATTTCTCCATTTTTCAATTTTGGGACATTTGAATTCAATGTTTTAAATTTTAGACTTTTTAGACTTTTCAGGTCTTCAGAATTTCTGTTTTTCAATTTTTCAATTTTGGGACATTTCAATTCAGTGTTTTAAACTTTTGACTTTTTGGATTTTTCAGGTCTTCAGAATTTCCATTTTTCAATTTTTCAAATTTTGATATTTCATAAGTTTTCAGTTTTCCGATTTCTCAATTAATCTATTTTTGATTTTCTCATTTCTCGACTTCCCAACTTCAGTTCTTCAATTTTTCTATTTTTCAGGTTTTTTTTTAATTTTCCGACTTTTTAAATTTGTAATTTTTCGACTGCTTTTTTGATATTTGGATTTCCCAATTTTTCAAATTTTTAATTTCCCAATTTTTGATATTTCGTTCAATTTTGTGATTTTTGAGTTTTTCGATTCTTCAATGTCTTTTCAATTTTTCAATATTTCAGTTTTGGGATTTTTTAGTATTCCGACTTTCCGATTTTTTTTTTCGATTTCTCGACTTTTTACTTTTTGGATTTTCAATTTTTCGTTTTTTAAACTTAAGATTTTTCAATTTTTCGACTGTTTTATACTTCGATTTCTCAATTTTTCAACTCTTCGATGTTTTTATTTTTCTATTTTCAAAATTGTAGGCTTTTAGATTTCTCAAGTTTCCAGTTCTATATTCCAATTTTTCAATTTTCCGAATTTTTAAATTTTATTTTTCCAATTTTTCTTTTTTTCAATTTGTTTAATTTCTCGATTTATCGAATGCTGATGTTTCGATGTTCTGATTTTTCAGTTTTTCTTTTAAATTTTAGATTTCCGAATTTTTATTTTTTGATTTTTTGATGTTCGGATTTCTCCATTTTTCAATTTTGGGACATTTTAATTCAATGTTTTAAATTTTAGACTTTTTGAATTTTTCAGGTCTTCAGTATTTCTATTTTTCAATTCTTCAAATTTTGACGTTCAATTTTCAGTTTTCCAATTTCTCAATTAATCTATTGTTGATTTTCCCATTTCTCGACTTCCCAACTTCAGTTCTTCAATTTTTCGATTTTTCAGCTTTTTGATTTTTCAATTTTTCGACTTTTTAAATTTGTGATTTTTCGACTTTGCTTTTTTGACTTTTGGATTTCCCAATTTTTCAAATTTTTTAATTTCCCATTTTTTGATATTTCGTTCAATTTTGTGATTTTTGAGTTTTTCGATTATTCAATTTTTTTCAATTTTTCAATATTTCAGTTTTGGGATTTTTTAGTATTCCGACTTTCCGATTTTTTTTTCGATTTCTCGACTTTTTACTTTTTATATTTTCAATTTTTCGTTTTTTTTAAACTTAAGATTTTTCAATTTTTCGACTGTTTTATACTTCAATTTCTCAATTTTTCAACTTTTCGATATTTTGACTTTTCAATTTTTAAAATTTTTCAGTTTTCGGAATTTTTAAATGTTCGATTTTCTAATTTTCCGATATTACGACTTTTCTCAATTCTCTGATTGTTCAATTTACAATTAAAGAATTAATTCTTAGTTAAACAAAAAAAATAACATGTAATATGTGAAATTATGTTTGTAAATAAACGCATCTAAATAATAACTATTTCCCGCAGAAATTCTAAATGCTTAATAGAGTCGACATTGGCCTGAACGTGAGAGTTCTCAGGCGACGATTAACCACTAGTTCTCCGTATTCTCGCTGTTTTTATTTTCCACATTCTTCTTCGTCCTTTTTCTTGACTATCCCATTTCATAAATTGGATATTACTTCCAAATTAATTAATGGCATACTCCGGATCAACCTCGAAGCGGCGATCGCGAACTCTCCAGAAGAACGTGTGGGTGCTTAAACAGGGACCACCTCCAAGGGGGGGCAGTTTTTCGTTTTATTATTCTGATCTAACCTGACCGTACCTATATGGTGTGAACTGATCTAACCTGATTTGACTGATCTGATCTGATCTGACCTGACCTGACCTGACCTGATCTGACCTGTCTTGAACTAATTTTTAGATACAAACACCATGAAATAGGATTTATTTTCATAATACAAAATTTGAGAATCACTAATTTAATATAAAGGTCACGTTTGTAAAGTTTCAGCATAAGCGAGATAATTGTGGGAACGACACCAACCTAGACGAATTTTAATTACCACATTCTGTTTGTCTAGGTTAAAATAAATAGAACTATTCCCTCTTTTTAATAAATAATGATGTTTTCAACTTTCATATCAAGTAACTCTAATTTCGCTAATGAATTCAACTAGAGTAATAGCTACGTTATTAAATAAAACTGAAGCACTACTCATCCCGTTTTTAATCCTTGTCGCCCTTCCTTTATGAAGCTCTTAAAAAATGCACTGTGCTTCATAAAGCAGCTCGCAAATGACTTCCCTACATTACAGTGTTTTCATTGCAGGTTCAATATTTAACCATCCCAGTTTTTCACAGAAACTCGTAATATAACTGAAATTTCATCGACTTATATTAACGTTACTCGAGCAATAAAGCAACGGGAAGATGACAGCCATATAAAGCTGAACGACAAAAAATTTATTAATTTTAAAAGTGCTCACCAGCTAGTCGTCCATAACGCTGAAACATCCTTTCCACATCCGTTTTAGAGCACTGGAATGTGTTCAGATTTCCGACGAAAACTCTCGAGTTCACCGCCTGAGGGTCCTGAGAGTTCGTCTGGTTTCCCACCTTGCTCATCTTCATTTTGGAGGATTGTCTGGAGCAAAAAACACGCTAATTAGGCCGAGATTACGCACAAAGAATGAATCTATGCTTGTGTTTGCTTGCGAGTGGCGGCTCTTGCTTTTCGTGAAAGGAAAACTGGAAAAATAAACTTTTTATGCGTCTCAAAAATTGTTATTTCTTGGTTTTAATCGCAGCGTAATTAAATTTACGTCAATCTGTCATGCACCGGGAGCTTGGGGGTTTGTTTAGGTTAGAGGGCTTGGCTGGGCAAATAAATTTTTATATTTAATAAAAATACACATGCAGGGAAACAAAATTCGAAAACGAATTTCGGAAAATTTTCATGCTCTAAAATAATTTATTTTTTTTTGTATCTTCGGGGCAAGTTGTTATTTACACCAAGGTGCAAAATGAAGTTTGTTATTTACAAGAACATGAAATAGTGACAATGAATAAGAACAAACTAACCAAAATTTGCCGAATTCGTGAAAATTCTATTTAATAGCATTTTAAAATGGGTTAAAAATTGAGTCAAAATTTTACTTGCGTTGTTTTTTCAACAAAAGAAAATTACTTACACAGAATCCGTCAGAATCAAAATTGATAATATTTTTCAAAATTTTTAATAACATATACTTTTGTTTAAAACTTTCCACAATATTAAAAATCTTAATTTACATGACATAGGTAGTATGTCAATCTGTTTTTTTATATTTTTAGAAACTAGTGTTGTTCACGAAGTAATGCAAAATCTCGAGATGGAAACGATCGTTTCCGAAATATTAAATGGTCCAAAGCAACTAAAAATAAATTCATAATAATCAATGGTTTCCACGGGCGGATTTTCCTATGAGGTATTGTTTTTTTATTATTTCAGATCGATAGATTTCTGACAAATAAAATGTTTTTTTTTAATTCTAATATTTTAAAAATAGGTGACATTTTTTTTAACAAAATGTATGAAGAATTTCTGACTGATATTATACCGTCCAAATGTTTAAAGGATGTGTGAGGAATGATAAACAATAGAAATTAAGGCAACTATTTTCGACAATTCTTGATATTATAATTAACTAGATTTTCTCTGGCATAAAAAAGTTACACATTTTTGACTTACTTCTAGAACACGAAAAAATAGGTCTCTCGTTTCCGTTTGTCTGTCTGTCTGTCTATCTGTCTATCTGTCTGCCTGTTCACCGTTTGTGTCGATTATTTTTTGAAAGATAGTACCAGAAATTACCGGACCAATTGTTGTCAAATTTTGTATGTATGTTAGGAATATCAAGTAGATGATAAAACGCTAACCAGAATTTGTCTAATCATCGCCAGCAATAATAGAATGACGTCACGTCCAAATTTTATGGTAAATATTATTTAGATTTTATAAAATAGCGCACTTCTGCAAGATTGTATAGCAACACCTTGTAATCCAAGTTTGAAATTACAAAATCCTATGTTATGAAATCGTGGCAACATTTTAAGATTATCCAAAACATGGTAAATCGTTAATCAAAATAAAAAAAAAAAAACTTAATAACAGTTTTTCGATTTTTCGGCTTTTCAATTTTTTAATTTTGACTTTCTTGATATTTCCATTTGGTGAAGATTTTTCATTCGGTTGGCGGTTCTTCAATTCCTATATTTATCGGATTTTTGATTTCTCCATATTTTAATTTTTCGATTTCTCACAGTTTTTCGATATTTCAATTTTTTGATTTTTAAATTTTTCAATTTTTGTCGTTCCTAAATTTTCGATTTCTCAATTTCTCGCTTAATTGATTTTTAGACTGATTTTTCGAGTTTTCATTTTTTCGACTTCTATTAGGAAATCGAAAAATTTAGAAGATTAATTTGTACGGTTTTTGAAAGTTTCGATTTTTTAAAATTTCTTGGTTTTTAAATTTCTCGATTTTTCAATTTATCGGTTTCTTCGAGTTTCCGATTTCAGTTTTTCGATTTATTGTGCTTTTTTTTAGTTTATATGTTTTAATTTTGAATTTTTCGCTTTTGGGCCACATATTTCGATTTCTCAATTTTGCGATGTTTTGATAGTTCGATTTTCCGGTTTCCCAATTTTTCATTTCAATTTTGGGAATTATTCAATTTCTCGATTTTTCGGATTTTCGATTTCTTGATTTTTAATTTCTCGATTTTGAAATTTTTCAACTTTTGCGGTTTCTAAATTTTTGATTTCTCAATTTCTCGCTTAATCGATTTTTATACTTTTCGATTACTACATTTTTCATTTTTTTGACTCCAAAATTTTTCGATTTCTCAAGTTTTCAATGTCTCAGTTTTGGAATTTTTCAGTATTTCGTTTTTTAATTGTTTTGATGTTTTGTTTTCCTACTTTTTTGATTTTTTGATTCCTCAATTTTTCGATATTTTAAATTTTAATTTCACAATTTTTCAGTTCTTCAATTTTTATATTTTGCAATTTTTGGAATTTTTAAATTTAAGGTGTTTCACTTTTTGAACTTCTGATTTCGTTGTTTCAGTTTATTAGTTTCTCAAATTTGGATTTTTAAAAATTCTTTATTTTTCAATGTTTCAATTTTTTGGTTTTTAAATTACTCGATTTTTTAATTTATCGATTTTTTCAATTTTTCGATTTCTCGATTTATAGACATTGGCGATTTTACAGTTTTTCCATATTTCGTTTCTTTTTTAAATGTTTCAGTTTTGAATTTTTCGATTTAGGGCTACATATTTCGATTTCTCAATTTTTCGGATTTTCGATATTTCGATTTAAAAATTTTTCAATTTTTGTTTTTAAAAATCTCGATTTTTCAGTTTATCGATTGTTTTCAGTTTTTCGATTTCTCAATTTTATAGAGATTTTTCAATTTTTCAGTTTTTCGATTTATCGTTTTATTTTTAGTTTAAATGTGTCAATTTTCAATTTTTCCATTTTCGGTTACATATTTCCATTTCTCGATCTTTCGATCTTTTGATGGCTCGAATTTTCAGTTTCCCGATTTTTCTACTTTTCGAATTTTCGATTTGCAAAGTTTTCGATTTTCCAACTTTCTGATATTTCAATTTTGAGAGGTTTCAATGTCTCGGTTTTTCAGTTTTCAATTATTCAATTTTGCGATTCTTTACATTTTAAACTGTTCGATTTCTATTTTTTTTTTTTGATTTCTCGATATTCCGATGTTTCGGTTTATCGGTTGTTCGATTTCTGTTTTTCAATTTTTCCATGTTTTGGTTTCTTACTTTTTTCGAATTTTCAAAATTGTTCGATTTTTCAGTTTTTAAAATATTTTGATGTTTTGATTTCTCAATTTTTCCTTTTTTCGATTCTTCAATTTTTCGATATTTTGAAATTTTCATTTCTCTTCCGATTTTTCGATCTTTGGATTTTCTGGCTTCTCGCTTTTAGGTTGTTCGGTTTTTTCAACATTTCGATTTTTTAATATTTTTCATTTTTCAATTTATCGAGTTTTTCAATTTTTCGATTTCTCGATTTAATCGAGATTTAGCAATTTTTCAGTTTTTCGATTTATCGTCTTTTTTTAGTTTAAATGTTTCAATTTCGAATTTTTCCATTTTCGGCTACATATTTCTATTTCTCTATTTCTCAATTTTTCGACGTCTCAATTTCTCGTTGTTCGAATTTTCGGTTTTTCCATTTTTCAATTTTTCAAATTTTTGATTTGCTAGTTTTTTCGATTTTACAGTTATTTAACACTTCAATTTTGAACGATTTCAATATCTCGATTTTTCAGTTTTTCAATTCTTCAATATTTTGATTTTTACATTTCTAGATTTTTTGATTATTTTTATTTTTTCGATGTTTTAATTTTACAATCTTGGATTTTTCCTTTTTTTTCTTATTGATGTTCCGATTTCTCGATTTAATTTTTTTAATATGTTCTCAACGTCTTGGTTTTTCAGTTTAATAATTCTTCGTATTTTCGATTTCCGGATTTTTCAATTTTGCGATGTATTAATTTTTCGATTTTTGATTTTTTGATGTTTCAATATTGCTCGATCTTTCGCTTTTCCGACATCTCGAATTTCGAGTTTTCGGTTTTTAAATTTTTTTTTTTGATTTCATGATATTCCGATGTTTCAGTTTTTCGGTTGTTCGATTTCTCGGTATTTCGATTTTTCAGTTTTTCCTTGTTTTTATTTTTTACTTTTTTCGAGTTTTCAAAATTGTTTCTAAATTTTTTGGTGTTTTATTTCTCGATTCTTCACTTTTTCGGTTCTTCAATTTTTCGATATGTTGAAATTTTGATTTCTCGTCAGTTCTTCAATTTTCCTATTTTGCAATATTTCGGATATTTAAATTTTAGATGTTTCACTTTTGACTTTCCGATTTCTGGATCTTTCGATTTTTTGGTTTCTCGCTTTTAGATTGTTCGGTTTTCAATCTTTCGATTTTTGAAATTTTTCATTTTTCAATTTTCTGGTTTTTATATTTCTCGATTTTTCAGTTTATCGATTTTTTCAATTTTGTCGATTTCTCGATTTTATATATTTGCCAGTTTTTCAGTGTTTCGATTTGGCTTTTTTTTATTTTAAATGTTTCAATTTTTAAATTTTCCATTTTCGGGTTACACATTTCGATTTCTTAATTTTTCGATCTTTCAACATTTTGAAGTCTTCAATTTCCCAATTTTTTAATGTTTCGACTTTTTCGAAGAGCATTTTTTCTCGCTGGTTATCTACTTTAAATATATTAAATTTATAAATTACAAGTAAATTAAATCTCAATAATTTTTAATTTACTTAGACTGTGCTTATATATTTTTAACTTTCTCTGATGGTTACTTCTATTAGTCTCTTCATCTCAAAACGAATATCTTGGCCTATTTTCTGAACGATCAAATTTTGAAAAAACCACTTTCGCATATTTGTTCAGACAGAGGAATCTGATCGACAGAGGAACGAAATCCCAAGTATGTCTTATCATTTAATATAATTTTTATAAAAAATATTTTTAAAATAAAAAAAATTACGTGAAATTTTTTAACAAAAAATAGTAAAATTTCGAACAAAGTACTGTCGAATATGGAGAAC